TATTACTACATTTAGAAGCTCTGTGTTTTTGATAAAAGTCTCATTAGTTTAAAAATGTACAAAAACACAAAGTTACTGAAATAAATCATTTCATATTCTCAAAAGTTTTTCTTATTTAACCAAATCAAATATGGTTCAAAGTTCCTAAAAGAATCTGGAGAGTTGGTTTTGTTTCAGATAAACTGCTGAAAGTGTTTTGCAGCAGATCATATCAACTCTGATGTTCTCACTGATGGAAAGCCCTGACTCTGAGAGAAGTATTCATCAACCATATTGTTATTAGAATATATTCATCAACCATATTCTTATTAGAATATATTCATCAACCATATTGTTATTAGAATATATTCATCAACCATATTGTTATTAAAATATATTCATCAACCATATTGTTAAGAAGGACATTTATTAGAATATTCTCAGAGAATTAAAAACTAATATAAATATCAGTTCTCACAGGTGTGTAACTGATTATCTGGGGTCTTGGGGAATAAATGGAAACTCATAATTAATAATGAAAAATACTTTAACACTTCACTGAACAGAAGTTTGTCACACCTCACAGACTCATAAACCAGATTCTTTACAATCAAAATTCTAAATAATGTTATCCACAAAAAGATGCTCAAGATTTGGGGTCTGCAGGAATCAGACTCATGCGGCTTCTGCCAAACAGATGTTGAATCATCTGAGACTGATTCTGGTTCTGTCCTGTGGGGGCAGCATTTTGGGTTATTATGTATAAAATAATACAAATATAGACATTTAAACTGAATATTAAGTCATGTCTTTTGTCAATATCATTAGGGTTCTTTGGAGACTTATAACATAAAGAAACTGTTTCACTTTTGATATTTAAGTCAAGTGAGAAAGATTTAAATACTGTGAGCGTCTTTATTATGTTGAACACTTTCACAATTTAGCAGAATGTTCAGTTGAAACAGAGCAAAAAAAGCTCCAAAAAAGGTGAAGATTCTTGATGCCTTCTCTTTGGAAAAAAGTCTGATTCTTATTCTTCTTATTTGTTTTCTGTCCTTGCTTTAGGATTTTGTTATGCTTTCATGGATTGATTGATTTACATTGTACTAAAGCCCCGCCCACCTTAGCCCCGCCCCTCACCTGAGCAGATGACGTCCTCACTGGGTCCAGAGGGACAGGTCTTGGGTCTGGAGCGGGGACAGTCCACCAGAGCAGACTCATGGCCCTCACAGTGGAACGTCTGCCCCAGAGGAGAGAGCTCCCCCTGGAGGACAGAAGGAGCATTGCAGCCCAGCTCCCTGCACAGCACCTCTGCTCCCCGCAGGTCCAAGGCACCTTCACAGACCGAGATCCAGGACCGGTCCCAGATCTGCAGTGATCCAGAGCAGAGACCAGAGCCTCCAACCAGCCGCACAGAGTCTGAGACAGAGAGGACTTCATCACACTCTGGACACAGAGTCTGAGACAGAGAGGTCTTCATCACACTCTGGACACAGAGTCTGAGACAGAGAGGTCTTCATCACACTCTGGACACAGAGTCTGAGACAGAGAGGACTTCATCACACTCTGGACACAGAGTCTGAGACAGAGAGGTCTTCATCACACTCTGGACACAGAGTCTGAGACAGAGAGGACTTCATCACACTCTGGACACAGAGTCTGAGACAGAGAGGTCTTCATCACACTCTGGACACAGAGTCTGAGACACAGAGGTCTTCATCACACTCTGGACACAGAGTCTGAGACAGATCTCATAAAGACTCAGAGAAAGTATCAGTTTCAGCTGCTGCCTCCTCAGAAGAGTCTCGTGATGTTGTTGTGACGTGTTGCTGACTCACAGAACACACTTATGGTGCTGCTCAGAGCTGCACACTTATTGTGTGGAGGTGTTTAACTCCTGGAGAGTAGAAAGGGTTCTATGAGGGCAGTACAGAAACAGTACGGCACAACTGCAAATCTACCAAGACTCTGCTGATCGAGGACAAAACTGATCACAGATGCACACACGAGGCCCATGGTTACTGTGGAGGAGCTGCAGACATCCACAGCTCACTTGGAGAAATCTGTACATGGGACAAATATTAGTCCTACACTTCACAGATGTGGTCTTTACAGACAAAGTGTTTACATAAAAACACAAGAAACAAAGACGGACACATCCAACATGTGGAAGAAGGAGCTGTGCTCAGATGAACCATCTGTATCGTCGACGATACCTGCGCACATGTTTTACTAATGATCAATTTACTCGCGAACGGTAAAATGTAGCAACTTACTTTTTTTTCCTCTGTGAAGTACATATTCAGGGCTGATTTGTCTGTGCGATGCACGGAGGATAAATTACGTTTGTCTGAAAGTCCCTGTCCAATTGGATGTTAGCGGTGACCCGTGAGGTACAAACAGCTGTGAGATACAAACACACGGGGACTGCCAAAGATCGTCAGAGAGTGAGATGTCTCACTCCTCTGTGTGCACTTGTTGTCGCACAGTTGAAACTACAGCTGCAATTGCAAAGGGCTATATGCACCGGGAGGCGTGATGTCATTTCCTGTTAACAAAACACAGCCCGTTTACTTCCTGCCTGTGCTATCCTATGGCTTTTAGGTGAGTTTTAGTGACGTTTTTTAGTAATTAGATTGATACATTCAGCTGAGACTGACCCAAAAGTGTCGCTGTGCTTTCTCTGAGGTAGAGCTTTGACCGTGGCCACACAATGACAGCACAATCAAAGAGCACTGCTGTGTCCCAAAAATGCCCAGTATCCTCACAGTTTAATTCCCGTTTGAGCATTATTTGGGAAACTCGTGTAAACCACTGCTGAACTCCAGAGAAACTCAAGCTGTTTCCCGCAAACAGGAAGTGAGCTGGGGCTTTAGCTAAAACGCGGAAGTGGTGCGCGCATAGAGCCTATTACCGGCTGAAGAGTGCACATTATTGATAAAGACAATAATAAATACAGTAAAATGACGTTATGTGAATATGATGTATATAAATATATGTATTATATAAATATATATATATATATTTTTGTCTTAGTTTCTTATGTTTTACGTTTTTTACAGCTGTGCTACAGAAGCAACCCCAGCATCACAGACAAACTGCTTCAGGAAGGGCATCAGGAGTACAAAGTTTTGGCTTTTATAGTGGACGTTTGTAAAAAGTATAATAGTCACAGATTCAGTTTTCCATTATCTCCATGACCCAAATAACATTTCTGTGCACTTCTGTTTTTTTAATACATTGATTTTCCATTTGATTCTTTTCTTTGTCTTCATGACTCCATAAGTTTTATATAATTCATATGACAGCTTTACAATATGAATATTCTAAAACCCCAGGTTGTACTGAAAAAAAAGTCTACTGCTTGACTGTGCCTCAAACGACTGTTTTATGAACAATTATACACAAAGAAAACCAGGCGAGGAAGGATCCCCAAAATGACCCATGTGTTTAGAGGATTAAGACTAAGTCCTGGGTCTACAGCCTCAGTCCTGGGTCTTGTTGTATATTTTAACTATGCAGATGTGAATATTGGCTGACCCTGATTTGAACTGTCTTTTCCTAAAGCAAAAAGACCTGGTTTCCCCATGTTCCTTTGTTAGTCCAAAGTGCATGGGTGAGTTAATGATAGGTAATCTGGGGGGGATTCTGCTAATCCTGAAGAAGGAGGGGGACCCAGAGAGCCTTCTGCCTTATCTCAAAGAAGTAATAAATCTATAGATTGGGGAGTGGTAGTGTGTGTGAATGATTCTGTTTAAGGTACGGCAGACAGAGGGGACATGATGGAAGAGGCCGGACCCAAGTCCTGCCTGATACGACACGCCCCCTGCTTCCTGAACATGGAATGATAATGCTCTGGCTTGAGAGGAGACAGGAGAATGAAACCAGGGCCAGAGAGGGACATGGATAGTATAGGAGCTTGTTGAATTTCTGTATCTGATTGTCAAGATAAATTAAATACAGATGTTAAACTTGAAGATCCTTGCCTTACTTCTGCATCAATTTTGAATACGTCTGTCAAAGGGAATTATTGACTTCAGTCTACAGCCTCAGTCCTGGGTCTACAGCCTCAGTCCTGGATCTACAGCCTCAGTCCTGGATCTACAGCCTCAGTCCTGGGTCTACAGCCTCAGTCCTGGGTCTACAGCCTCAGTCCTGGGTCTACAGCCTCAGTCCTGGGTCTACAGCCTCAGTCCTGGGTCTACAGCCTCAGTCCTGGTTCTACAGCCTCAGTCCTGATCCACAGGTGTGAGGGACTTGAAGAACAGGAGGAACATTAGTGTCAATAAAACATTTAGTTCAGACTCAGACTCTCACCTGAACACTTCACCTTCAGACCAAAGGACCTGGAGGAGGGAGAGGGCACAGCACAGTCTCTCACTGGAGACCTCCTCACACAGGACCCTGAGACCCTCCACACAGGACTCTGTGGTAAATCAGACACCTGTGTCCCATAAACAGCAGACCCACAGTCCAGGTCTCTGCACACAGCTGCTGTCTGCTCCAGGGTCCAGGCTCCAGGCTCCACTCGTCTCCACTCTCCTCTGTGTCTGAGCTCCAGGATCCCAGCACAGCGGCTGGCTCCTCCCTCCAGCCTGAGCGGCTCTGAGCAACAACAAGAGAGAGAATGAAGCCCCGCCCCTTACACAAGCCCCGCCCTCACATAAGCCCCGCCCCTCACCTGAGCAGATGACGTCCTCACTGGGTCCAGAGGGACAGGTCTTGGGTCTGGAGCGGGGACAGTCCACCAGAGCAGACTCATGGCCTTCACAGTGGAACGTCTGCCCCAGAGGAGAGAGCTCCCCCTGGAGGACAGAAGGACCCCTGCAGCCCAGCTCCCTGCACAGCACCTCTGCTCCCCTCAGATCCAAGGCCCCTTCACAGACCGAGATCCAGGACTGGTCCCATATCTGCAGTGATCCAGAGCAGAGACCAGAGCCTCCAACCAGCCGCACAGAGTCTGAGACAGAGAGGACTTCATCACACTCTGGACACAGAGTCTGAGACAGAGAGGTCTTCATCACACTCTGGACACAGTCTGAGACAGAGAGGTCTTCATCACACTCTGGACACAGAGTCTGAGACAGAGGTCTTCATCACACTCTGGACACAGAGTCTGAGACACAGAGGTCTTCATCACACTCTGGACACAGAGTCTGAGACAGAGGTCTTCATCACACTCTGGACACAGAGTCTGAGACACAGAGGTCTTCATCACACTCTGGACACAGAGTCTGAGACAGAGAGGTCTTCATCACACTCTGGACACAGAGTCTGAAACACAGAGGTCTTCATCACACTCTGGACACAGAGTCTGAGACACAGAGGTCTTCATCACACTCTGGACACAGAGTCTGAGACACAGAGGTCTTCATCACACTCTGGACACAGAGTCTGAGACAGAGAGGTCTTCATCACACTCTGGACACAGAGTCTGAGACACAGAGGTCTTCATCACACTCTGGACACAGAGTCTGAGACAGAGAGGTCTTCATCACACTCTGGACACAGAGTCTGAGACACAGAGGTCTTCATCACACTCTGGACACAGAGTCTGAGACACAGAGGTCTTCATCACACTCTGGACACAGAGTCTGAGACAGAGAGGTCTTCATCACACTCTGGACACAGAGTCTGAGACAGAGAGGTCTTCATCACACTCTGGACACAGAGCTCCACAGCAGACATCACTGTGAGACATGTGCCATTCAAATAAATACTTTCACTGAGCCCCTGGGGACCCAAGATGTCTGTGCTTTCAGGTCCATGGACTGAAATATTAGCGTGTGTGTGTTTGTATTTCTTCATCCTTGATTGAGTCCTGGTGTGTGTAATTGTGACTCTGTTTTGTATTGTATTGTAGCGTGTCAATAAAAAACTGTGTTGTTCTGTGTGTTGCTCTCCCTGTTGTGTTGTGTGTGTGTTCTGTACTTTCTCCTGTATGTGACATCATCAGGGGCTGTCTTTGATGAAACTGAAGATAGAACGTTCACATGAGTCACTGTCAAACCTGAGCCTCCTTCTGACTCAGTGTCAAAGCTGCGCCTCCTTCTGACTCACTCTCAAACCTGTGCCTCCTTCTGACTCACTCTCAAAGCTGCGCCTCCTTCTGACTCACTAACAAACCTGTGCCTCCTTCTGACTCACTGTCAAACCTGCGCCTCCTCCTGACTCACTGTCAAACCTGCGCCTCCTTCTGACTGACGGTCAAACCTGCGCCTCCTTCTGACTCACTGTCAAAACTGCGCCTCCTTCTGACTCACTGTCAAACCTGCGCCTCCTACTGACTCACTGTCAAACCTGCGCCTCCTCCTGACTCGCTGTTGAACCCGCGCCTCCTTCGGACTCACTGTCAACCCTGCGCCTCCTTCTGACTCACTATCAAACACGCGCCTCCTTCTGCCTCACTGTCAAACCTGCGCCTCCTTCTGACTCACTGTCAGAGCTGCTCCTCCTTCTGACTCAGTGTCAAACCTGCGCCTCCTTCTGACTCAGTGTCAGAGCTGCGCCTCCTTCTGACTCACTGTCAAACCTGCGCCTCCTTCTGACTCAGTGTCAAAGCTGCGCCTCCTTCTGACTCACTGCTGAACCTGCGCCTCCTTCTGACTCAGTGTTAAACCTGCGCCTCCTTCTAACTCATTGTCAGAGCTGCGCCTCCTTCTGACTCAGTGTCAAACCTGCACCTCCTTCTGACTCAGTGTCAAACCTGCACCTCCTTCTGACTCAGTGTCAAACCTGCGCCTCCTTCTGACTCACCGTCAAACCTGCGCCTCCTTCTGACTCACTGTCACACCTGTGCCTCCCTCTGACTCAGTGTCAAAGCTGCGCCTCCTTCTGACTCAGTGTCAAAGCTGCGCCTCCTTCTGACTCAGTGTCAAAGCTGCGCCTCCTTCTGACTCACTGTCAAACCTGCACCTCCTTCTGACTCACTGTCACACCTGTGCCTCCTTCTGACTCAGTGTCAAAGCTGCGCCTCCTTCTGACTCAGTGTCAAACCTGCGCCTCCTTCTGACTCACTGTCAAACCTGCGCCTCCTTCTGACTCAGTGTCAAAGCTGCGCCTCCTTCTGACTCAGTGTCAAAGCTGCGCCTCCTTCTGACTCAGTGTCAAAGCTGCGCCTCCTTCTGACTCAGTGTCAAAGCTGCGCCTCCTTCTGACTCAGTGTCAAAGCTGCACCTCCTTCTGACTCAGTGTCAAACCTGTGCCTCCTTCTGACTCAGTGTCAAAGCTGCGCCTCCTTCTGACTCAGTGTCAAAGCTGCGCCTCCTTCTGACTCAGTGTCAAAGCTGCGCCTCCTTCTGATGATGGTGAAGTGATAAATGTTGGTGTGAAAAGGTGAGTGTGTCTGACTTGAGCAGTTGAGATGAAGACTTCGATCAGAGTCAGATGTTTCTTTATCAAAACAGTCGATCAGTTCAGGTTCATCACAGTCTTCTTTGACTTTCACAGCTTTTCGTTCTTGAACTGTTTTCCTCTCCAGAGACAGAGCAGAGCCACAGTCCAGCTCAGAGCAGACTCTGGATCCAAACTCCAGAGGAACAGGCTCATAATAGTAGAAGGGAACCAGTGGAGTCCAGTCCAGACCTGGTCTCTGCAGCTGCACCTCCCCCTGACAGCGACTGGCTCCTCCCTCCAGCCTCAGACTGTAAGACCCTGGAACAGGAGACACTGTCAGTGTGTGTGTGTGTGTGTGTGTGTGTGTGTGTGTGTGTGTGTGTGTGTGTGTGTGTGTGTGTGTGTGTGTGTGTGTGTGTGTGTGTGTGTGTGTGTGTGTGTGTGTGTGTGTGTGTGTGTGTGTGTGTGTGTGTGTGTGTGTGTGTGTGTGTGTGTGTGGGTGTGTCTGTGTGTGTGTGTGTGTGTGTGTGTGTGTGTGTGTGTGTGTCTGTGTGTGTGTGTGTGTGTGTGTGGGTGTGTCTGTGTGTGTGTGGGTGTGTCTGTGTGTGTGTGTGTGTGTGTCTGTGTGTGTCACCTGGTGAATTGTGTGTGTGTGATACCTGACGATTAGTGTTTGTGTTACCTGACGAATTGTGTGTGTCTCCCAGGACCCCTGCACACAGAGAAGTTGTGTTACAAAATGTCGACTGTGGGTCATGACACAGGGCGACACACAACTGAGACCAGAGAGAGACCAGAGAGAGACCAGAGAGAGAGACCAGAGAGAGAGACCAGAGAGAGGGACCAGAGAGAGGGACCAGAGAGAGAGACCAGAGAGAGACCAGAGAGAGACCAGAGAGAGAGACCAGAGAGAGAGAGACCAGAGAGAGAACAGAGAGAGACCAGAGAGAGACCAGAGAGAGACCAGAGAGAGACAAGAGAGACACCAGAGAGACTAAAGAGAGACTAAAGAGAGACCAGAGGAAGACAAGAGAGAGAAAGACCGAAGAGAGACCAGAGAGAGACACCAGAGAGACTAAAGAGAGACCAGAGAGAGACCAGAGAGAGAGACCAGAGAGAGAGACCAGAGAGAGAACAGAGAGAGACCAGAGAGAGACCAGAGAGAGACCAGAGAGTGACCAGAGAGAGACCAGAGAGAGACCAGAGAGTGACCAGAGAGAGACCAGAGAGACACCAGAGAGACTAAAGAGAGACTAAAGAGAGACCAGAGATAGACCAGAGGAAGACAAGAGAGAGAAAGACCGAAGAGAGACCAGAGAGAGACCAGAGGAAGACCAAAGAGAGACCAGAGAGAGGCCAGAGAGAAACTAGAGAGAGAGAAACCAGAGGGAGACCAAAGAGAGACCAGAGAGAGACCAGAGAGAGAGACCAGAGAGAGAGAGACCACAGAGAGACCAGAGAGAGACCAGAGAGAGACCAGAGAGAGACCAGAGAGAGAGACCAGAGAGAGACCAAAGAGAGACCAGAGAGACTAAAGAGAGACCAGAGGAAGACAAGAGAGAGAAAGACCGAAGAGAGACCAGAGAGAGACACCAGAGAGACTAAAGAGAGACCAGAGAGAGACCAGAGAGAGACCAGAGAGAGAGACCAGAGGGAGACCAAAGAGAGACCAGAGAGAGACTAGAGAGAGAGAAACCAGAGGGAGACCAAAGAGAGACCAGAGAGAGAGACCAGAGAGAAACCAGAGAGAGACCAGAGATAGACCAGAGGAAGACGAGAGAGACTAAAGATAGACCGAAGACGGACCAGAGAGAGAAAGACCGAAGAAAGACCAGAGAAAGACCAGAGAGAGACCAGAGAGAGACCAGGGAGAGACCAGAGAGAGACCAGAAAGAAACCAGAGAGAGACCAGAGAGACTTGAGAGAGACCAGAGAGAGACCGGAGAGAGATCAGAGGGAGAACAGAGGGAGAACAGAGGGAGACCAGAGAGAGACCAGAGAGACCAGAGAGAGACCAGAAAGAGACCAGAGAGAGACCAGAGAGAGACCAGAGAGAGAGACCAGAGAGAGAGACCAGAGAGAGAGACCAGAGGGAGACCAAAGAGAGACCAGAGAGAGAGCAGAGGGAGAGACCAGAGAGAGAGACCAGAGAGAGAGACCAGAGAGAGAGACCAGAGAGAGAGACCAGAGAGAGAGACCAGAGAGAGAGAGCAGAGAGAGACCAGAGAGAGACCAGAGAGAGACCAGAGAGAGACCAGAGAGTGACCAGAGAGAGACCAGAGAGTGACCAGAGAGATACCAGAGAGAGACCAGAGAGAGACCAGACCAGAGAGAGACCAGAGAGAGACCAGAGAGAGACCAGAGAGAGACCAGAGAGAGACCAGAGAGAGACCAGAGAGAGACCAGAGAGAGACCAGAGAGTGACCAGAGAGAGACCAGAGAGAGACCAGAGAGAGAAGAGATACCAGAGAGAGACCAGAGAGAGAGAGACCAGAGAGAGACCAGAGAGAGACCAGAGAGAGACCAGAGAGTGACCAGAGAGAGACCAGAGAGAGACCAGAGAGAGAGACCAGAGAGAGACCACTGTAAACCCTAACTTCAATCCTACTTCAGATATCAAGTTATTTTAAATAGATTTTTCCCAGTAAGTAGATATTACTCATTTATTGTTAGTTTATTTAAAGCT